ATGGGATCCCGGCGTGTGCAGGGCAGTAGAGCTTGTGCATTGGGCCCAAGACTGATTGATTGATTGATTTGAGAGAGAGAGATTGCTGGCTCGCTCTCCAGACAGCCACACTGGGCTGGGCCAGCCAGGAGCTTCTTGGGTCTCCCACCTGAGTGGCAGACGTCCGAACATTTGGACTGTGCCCACCGCTTTTCCCAAGCCATCGCAGGGAGTTGGGTCGGCAGTAGAACAGCCTGGGTCTGTTGGAGGGGTTACCTGCCATGCCATAATGCTGGCCTCTATTTAACATCTCTCCGAGTGGTCTCTGCATCCACTCCTTCACACCCACAGCCCCACTGGTGTCTGCGGGGACCTTGAGCCGGGTCTGAGTAGGTGGCGGGGACTCACCTGCCTCGGAGGGTCTGCAGGGAGCTGAGCCTGGGACGCTGGCCGGCTGCCTGCCTGCCTGTTGGGTAGCCTCGCTCTGGGTTCTCACCTGGGCAGCGCGTGTGAACTTTGAGCCGGAGGGTGCAAGGTGTGTGTTCTGGGTCTGGATAGCAGCCAGGCAGGGCTGCACCTGCATGCTGGGTGCCCATCCCAAGGCTGTGCAGTGCCATGCCCTCTGTCGGGTGTGATGTGCTCTGGCCTGGTTACTCGGCCCTCTCCCTCCAGGCAGGGGACAGGGAACCAAGGCTTCACATGGCGGCCCTGAGGGACCTCAGCATGGTGGCAGAATGCGGGTCCTGAAAGGGACCCTTTGTGACTGGGGACATGGGGAGGTGACCCGGTTAGCTCAGTGCCGAAGGCCATGTGGGGTTTGCTCTTGAGTGCTGGGCGTGGGAGTGGGGCATCGCTGTCTCCAGTGCCTTGCCCTTCCCTGTTCCATCTGAAAAATGGACATCTGAACAGCAGGCAACAGCTCGAGGACCAAGAGCTGCCAATGACAGGCAGCGCCAGGCCGTGGTCCTGGGTGGCCTGGCTGCGTGCCGCGGGTGTCGCTCTGTGCCTTTGAGCCTCAGTCCTGGGGCTGAGGGCTGCTGAGAAGCCTCTGAACATGGACCCCAGGGTGCCCACAGCCCTGTCCCCCTCAGTTCCACCTGCTTTGCATCAGGAAACCCTTCCTGGTGCCCCTGCCTCTTGGTTCAGCTGCCTCCTGGGACCTCTGCCCAGGCCCTGTAGCTTGCCTGCCACCCTTGGTTTTCCCTGTGTGCCTACAGATGCTGCCCGCGTCCGGGCTGTACCTGCCTGCAGCGGGGGGGTGGTGCTGGGAGTTGCCGGGTGGCTCCAGCTCAGTTGTTACCCCTGGAGTCGCGGAGCCCTGGCTGTGCCGTGGTGTCACACAGCCTGGTGTGAATGTGGGGGGACCCAAATATGCGCTGTGGAAGTCTCCTGGCCTTGTAATGGCAGCGCTGAGCTGTCGGGGGGGCGGGGGCTTCTGTGGCTGGTGACCTGCAGGGTCTCAGTGGGCAGCCTGTCCCGCAATGCCCCTGCTGACTCAGAGCTGGTGGCTGGGAGCTCTGTGTGTGGCAGCGGCCTGCAGGGTCTCCTGGTTCCAGGTCAGGAGCTGGGCTGTCAGCTAGGGCCTCCCCCCGCCCCCGGCATTAGTGCCAGCCCAGACTCGGCTCGTTGGCCAAAGGAGCCCGTCCCTTGTGGGCACAGGGACAGTCTGAGGAGGCCCCCCCGCCCCCGTCTCCTGCCCACCCTGCCTGCAGGATGATTGCTTCATCCAAGTGAGCTCAGAACACGCCAAAGGCAAATATAATAATGAATTTATTATGAAGCCGCTTGGGCTCCTGGGATCACGTGACACCCTGCCACAGTGCCACACTCTGCCAGGGGGCCACCCGGCCTTGTGGGGGTGCCGGGACTCACCCCTTGTGGGACAAGGGCATCTGCTGACCTCCCCAGGGCCCTGTGTTTGTTCACCAACATTTCTTTTCTGCGGTAATGAAGAATTACCCGGAGCGGTGATTAGAGAATGCAGGTCCAGACTGCAGCAGGCCCGAGCCGGGAAGCCCCGCTGGGCCCAGGCGCTCGGGTGTGATTACCCCGGGGTGGGGGGCGCTGGGGTGGGGGAGCGGATTGGTGCTTGAACCGGGACCCAGCAGAAAATTCATCTCGGCTATTAGCTAGTAATTACAGAACGAGGGGGGAGCAGGCCCGAGGTCTGGTGCCGGGAAGAGCGGGGATGAAAGGAAGCAGTAATTATGGGAGATTGGTGCAGGGAGGGGGCCGAGCAGATACCACACTTAATGGAGCACTAGCCCCCCAGTCCTGCCGCTGGGGGGAGGGCACAGGGACCAAGGTGAAGGGGGTTTCCAGGGACCCACATGGGGGTCCCTTGCTTCCCTGCTGGCTTTTCTCCAGAGCCCAGGCGGAGTGCACGAAGGAATGGATGGTAGAACCGGCGGGACCTCCTGGCACCGTGACCTGTCCCCGGGCCTCCTGGCACCGTGACCTGTCCCCAGGCCTCCTGGCACTGTGACCTGTCCCCGGGCCGTGGGCCAAGTTCTTCTGTACCCTGTGGCTCAGGGAGCCTGGTGCTGGCTGTCTGGGCGGGACTGCTTTCTCCTGCTGCGGACAGTGGCTGGGAGGAGCCTGCTCTGGGCAGCCTGGAAGGCCCTGGGTGGACCTGGGCCACCTACACCCAGCTCCCATTCCTGCCGAACAGCAGTCAGGAAAGCTCTCCCCACCCCACCCCCATCCATCATAGGCCTTCATGCCGGGAGCTTATTCCCAGCTGTTAGGATAATGAATTTACATGAGCTGATAATGTAGACAAGAATTCAGTCAATGGCCAGGAGCGCAGAAGTTAATAAATACCTCTCTAATGAGGGCAGGGGGAGGTGGCCTTCCTCTCCCCGCCTGCTGCCCCTGGGGCCTCCAAGAACACTGGGCACCTGCCACAGCACACCTGTGTGGGGGACTGGGGGCGAAGGCAAGCTTGCGAGGCCTGGGAGGTGATGGCCAAGGCATGTCTGCCCTCAGGCCCAGGTCACGAAGCTAGCCTGGGTTGGGACCCTCCCCACTCCCTGCCCCCTGATGTGCACAGGCCAGGAGGAATGCTAATTTTAGATTCCTCTTAATGAAGCCGCGCAGTGTTTGGGATTCTATTTTAAGGAGCCTGACATCAGTGGAGTGGCTTCCCAGCCTCTGGCTCCCCGGGAGCTGCAGCTGACACGGTGGTGGTGATGCTGTGGTGGAGGGCTCCAGGGACTCCAGGGCTGGACCTGGCCGTGGGAGTGCCTGTGTCGGGATGCTAAGCAGGATTGATAATGACCTTGAGGCCTGGGGATTGTGGGGGACGGGCAGGTGCTCCTGGGGAGAAGGGCCTGGGTCCGGGCTCCAGCACAGGGGCAGGCACCTGTGACCTGTGGTCCTGACGTGGTACCGTCTGGTCACTGTTTCCTTGGATGCCCCGGCTTTCAGAAGCCTGGTCCACAGCAGATCAGAACCCAGAATTGTGAAGGAGCTCGCACCCGGGCCGACGGGAGTCCTGGAGGGGGTTGGCTGGTGGGCTTCCTCCTGCAGCCCCTTGCCCTGGCCTCTCAGTGAAGTGGGTTCACCCACGTGGCCCCATGTCTCGCCGCCTTGGGTTAGTCCCCAAGCCGCCTGCTACTGCAGACAATGGGAGGCTGTGGCAGCGGCATGCCAGCCCCACTGCAGGCTTTTGAAGCTTGACCCGCCCGTGGGAACCGTCTCTGGCTGGGGCTCAGCAGGCCCAGTTGTGTGCCCTAATCATGAGAAGGTTGAGAGTAGCTGAGCTGGGCTGCCCTGTGATCCCTGGGGCCACATCCTGTCTGGCCCCCTTGGACAGGTGTGCGTGAGCTGCCCGTGTGCGCGTGCAGGCAGCCTCTTTGGCGGGCCTCTGGGCTGCTGATAACCCGGGGAACAGGTTTAGGTCCTAGACCTACTACTGGGTTGTCTGGGACCCTGACCTCCCAAGCCACAGCTCTGGGGGCCTCCCAGGATGGTGGGGGTGGCCACAAGGCTGTCTTGGAGAAGCGATGCAGGACTCAGCTCCTTTGGGGTCAGGCTTGGTCCCCGTCAAGCCCAGGCTCTGCCTCACGCCAGCTGGCGAGCACTCCACCATGGGCCCAACGTGTGGCTGGCATCTTCATGTGCCTGTTTGGCTCGCACATGCAGTGGCACCCTCTGTGTCCCTGTGGTCAGCCTTCCCTGGCCACTGCTAGGCGCTCAGGGTTGTGGAGTGGGAGGGTTGCGGAGTGGGAGTCTTGGGCCGAGTCACCCAGCCCTGGCTGCACTCGACTGGTTCTGCCTTGCCAATAGCAGTGTAGTCTGGCCAGCCAGCCTGCCCTACAGGCAAAGCCCCCCAAGTCCTGACTCTGACCTGAGGTGGGGAACACAGAGGCAAGCTTTGAGCCCCTAGGTGCGGGGAGCAGCTGCCCCAAAGCTGCCCCAGGCTGCCCGTGGAAATGTCTTGCCTGCAGTTGGGGTTCCTGTCAGGGTGGTGCAGGTGCAGGTCCTGGCCCTGCTGGCCCTGTGCCATGTGACCTGTGGCAGCTGTGAGGCCAGCTTGCTGGCCACCAGTCCTTTGTGTCCCAGCCCAGACTTGCTTCTGCCTCAAGGCTGCCCAGGCGGCCCTGCAAGCCCCTGGCCCCACCTGACCTGGGTGTGGGGTGCACTCTGGGGGTCCCCTAAGGCAGAATCCCTTGGGGCCTTGGTTCAGGAGAAGGCAGGGGTGGAGGGGGTGAAGCCAGGACCAGAGCAGTGCTGACCACTCATGGTACCTCCATTTCCTGGGACAGGGTGTTGCCACCTCATCAGCATTGCCGGCACCAGCTGCCATGGGGGCTTTCAGTAGTGGACCTTGGCTGGACGTGGGCTGGGGCTGGCATCGTGCCACTTTGTGCTGTTTGGCCAGGGCCAGCTGTGCTCTCTGCAGTGCTGCCTCTGCTCTTGCCTGCCTGCCGGGGGCCCCCCTCCTTGCATGCGGCCCCTGCTCTGGTGCTGGGCTCCCCCGCCCCCCGGGTGACTTGGTTCTTCTTTTCCTGTTGCAGGCATGAGCCATGAGCCCAAGTCCCCCTCGCTAGGGATGCTCTCCACCGCCACCAGGACCACCGCCACCGTCAACCCCCTCACCCCCTCGCCGCTCAATGGCGCCCTGGTGCCCAGCGGCAGCCCCGCCACCAGCAGCGCGCTGCCCGCCCAGGCTGCGCCGTCCTCCGGCTTTGCCGCTGCGCTGCGCAAGCTCGCCAAACAGGCGGAGGAGCCCAGAGGTAAGAGGCCCGCCCCGTCCAGTGGGGCCCCGTCCAAGCCTGCCGTGTCCAGGGCTCCACCTTCGCTTTGCTTCTCTGCTTGGCCTGTCTGCATTGCTCTATGCTCCCTTTGTGGCAGGAGCTGTGGTGAGGACGCCAGCAGTGCAGAGGCAGCCCGGGGCTATTCCGGGAGCAGGCAGGGCGGAGGGGCCCCGTGTGTCCCTGGAAACGCACTTGGCTGAAGCAGGTGTCGCTGGGGGCACCGGTGGAGCCCGGCTTGTGGGACTGCCTGGACAGTGGGATGCTGTGAGACTGCAGGCAGAAAGTGGCCTTCTCTGGGCTTCAGGCTTCTGGTTTGAACAATAACTAGCTCCGGGAGCAGCTTCTGTGTTGAGCGTCTTGGAGTTCCGTAAGACAAGTGGGACAAACGGAGGTGCCCTGTGGGCGTTGGCACCATTGCTTGTGCTGGACCCTGGCTTCACCTCTGTGGCGTTCACACTGGCCCCAGCTTGCTGAGGGAGATGGCAGAGGGATACTCAGTGCTGGGAGGCCAGGCAGCCCCACAGGCCAGGGACATAGTGTACTGCCTGGCACCATAGCTAGGCATGGTGGCTGCTGGCTCAGTCCCTCCCGCATGACTCCTGGACACGGGGCCCAGGGCCAGGGCACCTGTGTTCCCCCACGCCTGGGTCTGGGTCCTCGTCCTCTCAGCTGGACGAGAATCGCAGGCTCCCCAGCACCCACCGTGTGCTGGTGTCTGCCTGGGGTGTTGCAGTGGGCGCCGGTCAGTCTTTCACAGATGCTCGGCCCCGGCCCACGTGGCCTATGTCCTGAGTGGGTCCCCTGCTGCCACTCTCCACTCCCGCTCTGGCTCTGGATTTGCTGGTCTGATGTGTGTGGCTTCCTTTCCCTGTGGGCCCCACAGGGTCCCAGCATCGCCAGCCCCGGCCCTGCGAAGGCCACCACAGGCAGGACTCAAGGCTTGGTAGTCTGCAGCAGACGCGGTTATAGTGGTGCATGGCCCACCAGTGGCCATGGAAATGCCCAAATGACCACTGGCCCAACCTTTTTCCTGTGAGAGCATGCTGCTCCGGAGCCCGTGGAGAGCCGGGCTTCCCCCGCTGGTGAGACTCTAGAAACCTCGTCCTATTTTTAGCCACCTGACCGTGGCCATCCGCGTTGCGGCTGAGGCCTCTGGGCTTCTGTCTTGTCATGTCCGCTGTCCGGGGCTCTGTCAGTGCCCCCAGCTCTCGTCTCCTGGGGTAGGCTCACCTCTTGTCCAGCCTGGCTTCCTGCTGCTGACTTGCTGGACCCCCCCCCCCCAGAGGCACTATTAGAGGGGATGGGACAGCACCCCAGGAACCGCGATGATAGAGGGGAACCAGGGCCAGGTGCAGGGTGCTGCCCATCCCTGGGACTGTGTCACTTCCGCCACCCTGTCCTTCCCCACCCCAAAGGGGCTGGAATGAGAGGTGTGAGAGGTGTGTGTGTCCCCTGGCCAATAGAGGTCCCGGGGGCTGCTCCCTGACCTAGTGGGAGGACTTTCTGGAGGAGCCTCTGACTTCAGGTTGGGGTCTGACCATCCACTGGTTCCGGGTTAAACCTTGGACCCTTCTTTGTCACAGGCCAGGGCTCCACTGGGCGGAGGCAGTCTGGCCTTGGCCACCCTGCTGTGTCACTAACGGGCTTTCTGTGGGCCACTTGGCACTTCTTCCTCTGAGGCTGCCGGCTGGGAGCCCTCACTGCCCCACGACAGCCGTGGCCGTCCCCTGAGGAACAGCCATCTGGCCCCATGTCTCAGGACTGGCTTCGCTGCAGGCTGCTCCTGCCCTAGGAGCCCACACCTGCGGGGAGGTGGACATGAGTTGGGTGACTGTGGGCCGCCAGGTGCGATCTGGACAGGCCTGGACTCCAGGAAGCAAGTTGAGATTGGGCCTCCCTTGCCAGCCATCATGCTCAGGGCCCCTGGCCTTGGCGTCATTCAGGGATGCGGGCTCCCCGTGCTGGCCCTTGGGTGCACATGGCTCACTGCACGGGCTCACTCACGGAGGAGCCCATGTGGGCACCTGTGGCCACGAGGGACAAACAGGCTGTGGAGGGAGGTCCCAGGTCCCCCGCCGCCTTCCTTCCACGGGCTCTTCAGGTGAGGCGGGGAGGCCAGCCTGGTGACGGACGGGTCCCCAGTGCCACCTGGGCAGACAAGGGCATCCTTCTGTCGAAGCCACCCTGGGCTGCTGCCCGCCTGCTCGCTCGCCCGCCCGCCTGTCTCAGAGCGAGTTCCGCTGCCTTCAAAGCAAACAGCAAAACAAACCCGGGCGGGAAGCTCCCGGCTGGCGCGAGGGAAGTGGCAGCTCCGTGGGTGTCTGATGGCACAGGTGTGAGCTTGAGCTTCTCCCGGGCTTCTGGGGTGGGTGAGGTACATCCCCTTGCCTGCCCAGTGGGTGCTGAGGCCCCCCACTCTGTCCCTTTGGCCCACGCTGAGTCCCTTGCCTGCCTTTTACCCAAAGAGGCTTTTGTGGCCACAGGACCTGACAGGGAAGCAGGCCGGGCACTGCCTGCCAGAGCGTGTGGCTGCCCCCACAGCTGTCAGGCGGGCAGGCCCTCCCCAGCCCTCAGGGTGGAGGCTGCCCACTGGCTGGGCCCAGGGCCCGCACTGTCTGTCCCTTATCCTGCCGCCTGTGCCCTTGTGGGGACTTCACTTCCCACTCCTTGTGGGCTCAATGCTCCTGTCCCTGGGGTGTGTCTCAAGGGTGGACCCAGCTAAGCACCCTCTGCTGGCTCGGCTTGCTTGCATGTTAACACATCAGTCGGCTGGGCAAAGCTTGGAAGGATGGAGAGAGTGACACTCCAGTTGCCCACCCCCACCCCAGCACCTGCGCTGCTGGCCCTTCCCGGGTCGTGGTCCTTGCCCAGAGTGCACCCCGTCACTGCAGTGTCTCAGGACCTGCACGGAGCCCTAGGTGGAGATATTGGCCAAGACCAGACGCACATCCTGCTCTCTTTCTGCCCTGTTCGCTGTCAGCTGGCCTGAGGCCCATGACTTTGGGGGCTGAGAGTGATGCCCCGTGGTAGAGCACGTGGTTGGTGCCCGAGTGGGCGCGTCTCATCGCGGGAGCTGACAGGTGCTGTGATGTGCCACGCAGCATCTGTCCTCGCTGTTCCCCCTGGGCTTGCTCCGGGGTCCTGGCTGTTAATTACACGCGTGTGCCTTCAGCCCCAGCACTGATCTGCCGGGTCAGACAGCAGAGGCAGTGCCAACACCCGTGCCTCTTGTCACCTCCAATCCGGCCCCGTCTCGTTGACGAACTCCTGGCTGAATACCGCCAGTTAATTACGGTGATGGCGGACCTTCCCACTGCAGCCTGGCGGTGAGAGGGAAGGGCCAGGCGCCAGCCTTGCTAATTGGCGCTGCGTTGTCAGGGTATTGATCCCCGCTGCTCTGGCTGGTGAGGAAGCGGCCTTCTGCCTCCAGGGGGATTAGCCCGCTAATTGTCGATGGCCTGGTCCCAGCCAAGACCCTGCCCTCGCAGTCTCCGCATCGTTGCTCTGGGTGGCGAAGCACACTCCCAGAGGGCACCAGGCCAAGTGGCTCAGGTCTGCCTGACCTGTAGGGAGGACTGTAGAGACCCCTGGGCCAACTGCTGCTTCCAGCCCAGGATCCCCTGCGCCTGGACCCCTTTCAGGGTGCTAGCCTGTTCGTGTAACTCTGCCTCAGCTGCAGCCAGCTGTGCTGTGAGCTCCACAGGCTGAGGCTGAGAGTGGGCTGACTGCAGGAGGAGCAGGGGCCACCACTGCCCGCAGCAGCCAGGAGGGTGCGGACTGGTGCTGGTGGCAGAAGCCACCCAGCGGTCAGGTGCTGATAGGATGTCCAGGCTGCCCATCTGTGGGGAAGAATGAGTTAGGGAGGGAAGGCTCACTCCCTGAAGGGCCACAGGGCCCGGGCACACGAGCAGGGAACAGGGTCAGAGGAGCAGCTGGGCTTGAACTAGCCGGCCATGCAGGCAGCGGCCAAACTGGCTGAGCCGCCGTGCAAGCCCTTGTGCTGAACTCACGAAAGTCAGGTGGAGAAGCCCTCAGGCCCTGGGCATCCTGGGGTGAGCAGACCCACTGCATGGGCAAGAGCCTTGGCACCATGCCTACCCTTGTCAGGGTTGGGTGTCTTCTGTCTGGTCCTCTCTGCTGTGGCTGCAGGTGCGGTGCTCGCCGAGGCTGCTGGCGCCACTCATCTGTGGAGCGTGAGCCCCGACTTTGCTCTCTCTACTTTCTGTGACGCTGCAGGCCCCGGAGGGTGGCAGGAGGCTGTCCATGCGGGCACCCTCAGCTTAGGACTGGCAGTGATACCTTCTGTTGGGTTTGATAGATTGGAGCGAGCCAGTAAACACATGAGGGTCACTCTAGGATGTTGGGGTCTGCCCTGAAATTGGATCCCTGGATGGCACCCAGCCCCTTGAGCAAACCTGGTTTGTCCTGCACCTCCAAGGCCCTTACTATGTGATAAAAGCCTCCATCTCCACCCAGTGCCAGTCTTGGAGTTGGCAGGCCTGTGTAGGGTGATGGAATTCTTAGGGGCTTGCTTATCTGGGTGGAGCCCATGAGATAGGAGTGTGAACAAGGTGCCCGTCCACCAGCCACTGTGGGGCGTGGCTGCAGGTTGGTGGGGTGCTTCTGGCTGGACTGGTTGTCACCCGGAGACGGGATCCCCAGGGAAGAGGGTGTGTGGGGATCTCAGATCCCACCAGAGTTCCCCTTGTGAGCTTCTGGATGCCAGGAGCTGCTGCCGGCCCTCTCTTGTATGCAGTGATTTTGGAGGTGGTGTATGACCCTCCTTTTGCCCCCTTAAGGCCTGAGGCGGGCTGTGAGCTGGGGATCCCTGAGTGAAGGGTCTGAGCTGGCCTTGGAGGCCTCCCACTCGGCCTCTTAGGACAGCAGGTGGGCACTGGTATCACTTCACTCAGGGAAATGGTCACATCCGTCTAGCAGGGGGGCCTTCTCGGCTCAACACCCAGGCCCTGCACACTGGGCAGCCCACCCTGAGCCTGGGCACAGGTGGGGTTCAGCCCGTGGGGCTGCTGCTGGCCTGTTCTGTCTGGAGCTCGGCTGTGATGGCATCCAGGGCCTCCTCTCGGGTCCAGCTGCTGGCTGGTGGCCCTTTGGGTCAGTGACGTGGCCAGCAGTCCCAGAGCCCACCTCTGCCTGTGGGACAAAAGCCCTCTGGTGGTCCCTTCTAATGTGCTCGGTGCCCCCTAGGACCGCTTCTGTTCCACAAGTGGTCTCCTTCCTCTGGGGTTTCGGAACAGGCCCCTGTGCTGTGTGCCCTGCTGGCCAGGCCTGCGAGGCAGAGGCAGGGGGTGCCTCGGAGGGGACGTGCTGTGGTGCCCACCGCTCAGCTGTCTGTTACCTCCACAGGGTCGTCACTGAGCAGCGAGCCGTCCCCCGTGTCCTCGCCGGCCACCAACCACAGTTCTCCAGCTAGCACGCCCAAGCGTGTGCCCATGGGCCCCATCATTGTGCCCCCTGGGGGCCACAGCGTCCCTAGCACGCCGCCTGTGGTGACCATTGCCCCAACCAAGACTGTCAACGGCGTGTGGAGGAGCGAGAGCCGCCAGGTGAGTGGCTTGGGCCCTGGGCAGGTCCCCCAGTGGGTGTGCTGGGCCCTTCCAGGCTGTGTGGCAGTGGCCACCGCCCCTGGTCAGGGCCACCTGGTGGTGGCTGCCCATGCTGGTGTCTGTAGCCTGGAGGAGGCAATTGGAAGAGGGAAGAATGGTCGCCTGGAGATCCCGGGGCGGGCTGGCCACACTGGGAATTTTCTGCTTAGAGGGCAGCTGGGAGCTGGTCCGCACATCTGGCTGGGGCCGCTGTGTCCCTGGGACCTAGAGCCAGCCCTTCCTAATTAAGAACGCTGGTCTCCCCTGGCGTTCCCTGAGGGCTAGCCCGCTTGGAAAGAGATGCTTATTAAACCAGAGCCTGGAGCCTGTGCTGTCCCCCCCTCCCTCCCACCTAGGACCCCCATGGGGCTGACACCCACTCCTGGTGGCCAGGGGGCAGGTCGCTGCTGACCTGACTCTGCACAGTGCAGTTTGGAGATGGGACCCTGGTGGGGAGGGTTGGGGGTTGCCCTTGGCCTGGGCCCTTTTGCAGCTGTGGCTCCTGCCGAGCGGGGCTGCCAGAGGAGGAGGCCACGCACCAGCTGTGCCTGAAGCCGCCCTGCTCCCCAGGGGCTGCCGGTTCCCCTCCCCACATCCTCCCGTGCTGTGGCTGCAACTGCCCGGTAGATGCACCCCACTTCCAGGTGGTGTCCTGGGGCCTGGCCTTGGGCACTCTTGCCCAACGACCTCACTTCCAGGTGTCTGTCACAGCTTGGCCTGGCTCCGTGCAGACATGCAGCGTGCCCCCAGCTCTCCCCCTTGTGTTCTGTGGCTGGCTGGGAAGGTGCCACCTGGTGCTGCTGCCTTCAGGCAGGGCTTTGTCTCCAGCTGGGGAGGGGTTGTCGGTCCATAAGGGGCCTGCCTCTGCCACCTGTAGCGTGGATAAGCTCTGAGGCTGCTGCCTCCCCCTGCACCCACAGCCCCACATTCCCAGGGCTGGCCCCCTCATGTTGCCCCGGGGTAAAGGTGTCATGTGGGATCCATCCCCACCCTGGAGGTCCAGCCTGGCAGTGCCTCTCACTAAAATTCCCACGTGTTTGCACCTGTACAGTGTGCCAGTGCCAGGGGTGGTACCATGGTGGCTGGGGAGGGAGTGGCGCAGGTGGGCAGGGCCCTCAGGCAGTGGGAGGACGTCAAGGCCAAGTGCTCAGGGTCAATAGAAGGTTCTGGCGGATAGTCTGGGTTCCCAGCCCCGCACGGGGTATCAGCAGGTGTGTTCCACCCCTGGGACCCTCGTGTTAACAGGGCAGATGGAGGCCCGGGGTGGTGAGGACCCCGGGAGGAAGCAGCTGTGGCCGTCCTTTAGAAGTCCCCCTCAGCAGCCCCCGCCGAGGACTGTCACCAGCTGGGGACATGTGAGGGCCGGCAGACAGGCGGGGTGCCGTGCTGGCCCTGGGCTCTGACTCTGGAAGACAGGTGGCAGCCTGTGGGCTCACACAGTGCCGGAAGCCTCGGGGCATCCCCTGTCCTGTGGCGTGTACGGCCAACGCTCCTGGTGCCTCTGCGTCAGCGTGGGCAGTGCTGTAGGTCCAGCCCCGGGGCTGCACTGATGGCCCGCAGGCCTGGGCGCTCACCTGAGCTTCCTGGGACAGCTACCACCCCAAGGGTCCCATGGCTCCGGTGTCCCCAGACTTGAGGACCTGGGGTGGGGAGGGGAGCCTACATGTTGCCCCCAAGGTAGGCGTGCTCAGAGTGTGTCACATGGCTTCGCCAGTCACGGCTGGACTGGAGCTTGCTGTGGACAGCTTTCCCAGCGTGGGTGCCACATAGGCCTGGCTAGTGTCTCCCCCTAGCATGGGGGAGGTGTAGCCCACGTTTGCTCTCAGCGGGGGCCGGCCCCGAGGCTGCCACCTGGAGTCGGGCCCGGGGCCTGTCTGCTGTCTGTTGGGGCTGGGCCGGTGCCGGGGCTGGGCCGGTGCCCGGGCTGCAGTCCCACCCCACGTGACTGTGCAGGGCTGCTCCCAGACAGGTCGGGCCGGTCGAGCCCAGGCAGCTGCCTGCTCTGGCAGGTGCCAGGACCACCCCGGGGGCTGGCTGGGGTTAGCGCAGCCTGTTCAGCCCGGGGAGACAGCTACTTCCTGGGGCTTTGCCGAGCGATTGTCCCAGCTGCGGGCCAGTTCCTCGGATGGACGTGGGTGTGGAGACCCAGGGTCCACATGGGAGGGAGCAGGTGATAGGAGGCTGGGAGCCCCTGCCATGCTGTGTCCTGTCACAGCCACACGTCTCAGTGACCCCTCGGCCTGGGGGGTCATGTCTGTGGGGCAGGCCTGTGCTGCACGGCCTGGACACTCGGGGCCGCGTTCTTGCGGGAGCTGTAGCAGGAAGCTCTGGCTGTGCCCCGACGCCCTTCTGTGCCTTCCACAGGATTCCAGCTCGAGGGGCGGCAGCAGTGGGCGGGAGCGCCTCCTCGTGGAGCCTCCGCTGCCCCAGGAGAAGGCTGGCGGCCCAGCCATCCCCTCGCACCTGCTCAGCGCCCCCTATCCCTTCGGCATCTCCCCCGGCTCCGTTGTGCAGGATTCCCGGTTCCCACCGCTCAAGTAAGTGCTGCAGGCGGGGCTTGTGGTGGGCACAGCGGCTGAGCCGCCAGATGGTCACCGGCCGCTGCAGCCGGCTCAGCCGCGGGGGCCGTGGGCAGCCCTGGCCACTCCTGCTGTCCATGTCCCCGCTTGCCAGCTCTGCTCAATCCTGGCCTTGGTCCTGGCAGCCAGGATTCCTCCCCGCCCCTGGCAGGGCCTGTCCCAGGAGGGGCGACAGCTGTGGAGAGGGGCCCGTTGTCTCACCCACACCTCCATCCTGCAGCCTGCAGCGGCCCGTGCACCATGTGGTGCCCCCCAGCACCGTCACCGAGGACTACCTACGAAGCTTCCGGCCCTACCACACGGCTGAGGACCTGCGCGTGTCCTCCCTGCCGCCCCTCAGCCTTGACCCGGCCGCAGCAGCCGCCTACTACCACCCCAGCTACCTGGCCCCGCATCCCTTCCCCCACCCGGCCTTCAGGTGAGACCCCCTTCTCCTGTTGGAGCCAACCTTGGGGGGAGGCGGGAGCAGCCCCCAGAACCTTTCTGGGCTCTGACCAGATTCGACCCCCAGCTAACCCTGTGCTGGCTTGTCAGGTTTGCCCAGCTGGCAGGAGCCGAAGTGGTATGCTGTGCCACAGGCACGGGTGCTGCCTAGGCCCCTCCTGGCCCACAGCCGTCCCGCCATGCCAGCCTGGGTGCACGTGGCCATGTTGCCGGTTGGCGCGCTCAGCGGCTCCCTTCTCTTCTGCACAGGATGGACGACTCCTACTGCCTGTCGGCCCTGAGGTCACCCTTCTACCCCCTCCCTGCCCCCGGCTCCCTGCCCCCACTGCACCCATCTGCCATGCACCTGCACCTGTCCGGAGTGCGCTACCCGCCAGAGCTCGCACACCCGTCCCTGGCAGCGCTGCACGCAGAGAGAATCTCGGGCCTCAGCGCCGAGAGGTGAGCCGGGCCCCAGGCTGCTATGGGGCGGGCAGCCCTGTGCCCTCCTGCCCTTGGCCTGGCTGTAGGGCTGGACGCGACACGGCCGGCCCACACCTTGGGCTCTTGCAAGGGGAGGGCAGAGGGGCGCATTGCCCCATCCCCGGTCCCGGGCACTGGGGCACCTGCTTGCAGTTCCCAGACTCTCTGCTTTGCCCCCCAGGCTGCAGATGGATGAGGAGCTGAGGCGGGAGCGGGAACGCGAGCGGGAGGCTGACCGCGAGCGGGAGAAGGAGCGGGAGCAGCGGGAGCAGCGGGAACAGGAGCGGCAGCGGGAACAGCGGGAGCAGCGGGCCCGCGAGAAGGAGCTGCCAGCCACCAAGCTGCTGGAGCCAGCCTTCCCACCCGGGGCCGAGCTGCACGCACTGCGGGGCCACGCCACTGAGGAGCGGGTCAGGTCCGCGGAGCAGCTGACCCCGACGCGAGCAGGTACCGGGGCAGGGCCCAGCAGAGGGAATCATGGAAGGCTGGGCTGCCGGGGTGTCGGCCAGCGTTTGCCCCACGTCCTGCTGACTATGAGCCCTGGAGTCCCAGAGTTGGGGCGGGCGCCCAGCAGGTGGGCATGTGGGCTGCAGTGAGCCCTAGTGGAGTTCATGACTTGGTTGGGGGTGTATTTCCGTTTTGCTGGAGATGGCCATGACCTGGCGCTGGCGATGGCCGTATGCACTGGCCTGCTGCTGTGACAGCCCTGCCTTGTGCAGGCACCAGTGCCCACCCCACCAGACACCTCCTCTGCTTTCTCCCACGAGGCCCCACTGTGGAAAGAAGGCTCTAGAAGGGCCCTGGCAGAGCTGCGTGGGCCACTCTGGCTCCCCACTGTGACGGCCTTCTTTCCCCACAGAGAAGGTGAAGGAGTCGGGCCTTCAGGCACCCAAGCCCGTGCAGCACCCTTTGCACCCGGTACCCACCCCTCACCACGCAGTGCCCAGCCTCATCTCCACGCACGGCATCTTCTCCCTGCCGGGCAGCAGCGCCGCCACAGCCCTGCTGATCCAGCGCACCAATGAGGAGGAGAAGTGGCTGGCCCGGCAGCGGCGGCTGCGGCAGGAGAAGGAGGACCGGCAGTCGCAGGTGTCCGAATTCCGGCAGCAGGTGCTGGAGCAGCATCTGGACATGGGCCGGCCCCCAGCACCGCTGGAGGCGGAGCAGCGGCCTGACAGCGCCAGGTAGGCGAGCAGGACGGGCCCTGTGGCTGGGGACCCAGGCTTCCTGAGCCCTGTAACCTGTGTCAGAGACCCACGGGTGCAGGGAGGGTCACTCAAGACACCCTTGGCCATGCCTGTTCTGTTTCTATTACTGTTACTGAGACAGGGAGCCTGCCTTTCCCCCAGAGGAGAAAATGCCCTTTCCCATGTCTGTCACAGGCCACAACCATTTGCACTAGCATTATAACGGGTTGTCCCCCCGGGAGCCACACTCCTGGCCAGTCGCAGCCCTGTCAGGGGCCATGCTGTCCTATTCCCCGGCCCTGACCTTGGGCTCAGAGCCTCCTGGCAGGCAGGGCTCAGTGGGGAGAACCTGGGTGGTCTCTGAGCTATCCCTGTGCCCAGAGTTGTTTCTGTTCTCTTGGCCTTGACCAGGGCTGGGGGCTGCAGGCCCGGCCGCATAAGGCCTCTCGGAGCTTGTCAGCTCTAGGCCCATGCCTGGCCCACCAGGGCGTTCTCATTGGTGATGAGGTGTAGACTGCGCAGGGCTCCCACGGACCCTGGTGGGAGTGTCGGGGTCTTTGAGCTGTGTGTGGCTGCACCAGGCCCTTGGCTAGCCAGGAGGGCACCCTTCCGAGCACTGCGGACCTGTTCCGACAGGGCCCCTGTGCCCTGAGCTCTGCTCTGTTGCGTAGCTCTTTGCTGAGGGTTTGATTCCTTTGCTGTTGGCCCTGATAGGGCTCCTGTGACACTCAGCTGCTCCTGGGTCAGTGGCACTGGGAGCTCACGGGAAGCCTGGCCACGTGCCTGCGGAGCCTCTGCCCGCTGGGTCCTTGGGCAGCGTAGGTTCAAACATCCTTCCTGGAAGTTATTTTCAGTCTGGAAGGCAGAGTGGCCAGTCTTCCTTTGGCTGGTTTGTTCCCCAGGGCTGACAGGCTGAAGTGCGCAGCCAGGAAGGTGGTTCGGGTGTCCTGTGTGAGTCAGGGGGACCCAGGGGCCCAGGCCACCATCCTCCTCTGCACCTCCAGGGCGTAGCAGAAGGGGAAGTGTAGTAGCTGGGACTTGAACCAGGCACTCTGGGATGCAGGCGTCCCAAGCAGCAGTGGGTCCAGGGCACTGGGCCGTCCATCCCAGCATGTCACTGTCACTCGGACAAGTGAAAGGGGAGATTTGGAAAACCACACAAGAGCCCCTTGCGGGCTGAATCTTGTTTAGGGAGCACTAAGGAGGAAGATGGCTGTGCAGCAGGTTCCCTCCCCCCTGCAGGCCTGGTGCCTGCTGTGCTGACAGCGGCCGCTGGGGGGCAGCAGCCCCGCCCGTTTGGGTCTGGGAGCCGCAGCGACGAGGGCCTTGCCATGGCGCCACCTCTCCTCCGTGGTCAGCCTGTCACTGAACACTGGGGAGGGGCCCTTGTCGGCCGCCAGCCTTGCAGAGCTGGGGCCTGGCCTTCGGGGAGTACAGGCGGGAGCCGGGGATGCTGGGCCAGAACCATGTCCGCACTTCCCAGCAGCAGTGGGAAGCCCCAGTGCGTGGGCCTGGCATGCAGGGTGGGGACAGCGCACCACGGGCCTGTGGGGGAGGTAAGGCAGCCCACCCTCCGTGACTCAGTGCCTATTGCTTGTCCCTAGGCCAGGACCAAACCGTCACGAGCCAGGCAGCCGGGATCCCCCGCAGCACTTTGGGGGACCACCACCCCTCATCTCGCCCAAGCCCCAGCACCACACTGTGCCCACGGCCCTCTGGAACCCTGTGGCCCTCATAGACAACACCCTGGAGACGCGACGTGTCGAAAGCCACACTCTGCATGGCCACTCGGCCGCGTCCGAGCCCAGCCGCCAGGCTGCGCTGCCTCTGGTGAAGGTGGAGCGAGTGTACTGCCCGGAGAAGGCCGAGGAGCCCCGGAAGCGCGAGGCGGCCCCCCTGGACAAGTACCAGCCCCCGCCGCGGGAGGCGGGCAGCCTGGAGCCGCAGGCCTTCTCCCACGGGCCGGGACCCTTCCTAGCTGAGCTGGAGAAGTCCACGCAGACCATCCTGGGCCAGCAGCGGTCCTGCCTCCCCCAGGCCACCCTTGGGGAGCTCAGCAGGCCACTGAAGGCCGACTCGCCCTACCGGCCCCCGGCCCCGCGGGCCCCCGACCCTGCTTACATCTACGACGAGTCCCTACAGCAGCGCAGGAGGCTGGTCAGCAAGCTGGACCTGGAGGAGCGCAGGCGGCGGGAGGCCCAGGAGAAGGGTAGGCACCCCCAGAGGCCCTGGCCTGCCCGGGGAGGGGCGGCCTAGTGCTCCGTGGAGCCAGGCCCCAGGGCTGGGGCGACCCTGGGCCCTGCCTGCGCTCTGTAGATTGACAAGGCCGGCTCAGCAAGGTGACCCGGTTGTCACTGGTGCAGCACCCAGGGCCTCCGTGGGCCATGGCTCTGCAGACAGGTGGGGCAGGGCAGGTAGATGAAGAGGTAGCCATTTTAAAAGATTTCTTTACTTAAAACCAGAGTTACAGAAGCAGAGACGACGTCACCCATCTGCTGGTTTACCTTCATACATGGCTTCAGTCACTGGAGCTGAGCTGATCCAAAGCCAGGAGCCAGAAGCTTCTTCTGGGTCACCCACATAGGTGCAGAGTCCTAAGGCTTTGGGCCGTGCTCCACTGCCTTGCCAGGCCCACAGGCAGGTGGCTGCCAGCTCAGAGGTGGAGGATTGGTGTGCTGTGCCACTGCACCAGCCCCAAGGCCAAACATTGTACTGCCTCTCCCCAGGAGGGGAGACCCCCGCTGCCCACGCCCACAGCTTCCCAGGCTGCAGACAGGCCACTGAAGGCCGACTCTCCCTACCGGCCCCTGGCAGAGCAGGGCCTACAGGCCTGTGTAGGTTACACTTAGGGCCCTGCCAGGGGTCAGGCCTGCTCAACTTGACCATCTCATTTGCCGCTGCTCAAACGGCTTCAAGCCAGACTGAAGCCAGGAGGCTGGGACTCAGTCCTGCTCCCACCTGTGGCCGTTTTCTCCTGGGCATGGTGACAGGCAGCCGGACAGAAGTGGAACAGCCAGAACCCAGGCCGTTGCTGGGGGGGGGGGGGGGTATTCGTGGGGTGGAGAAACAGAGCTCCTGTCCATTGGCTCGGCTGGGTCCCAGGAGCTGTGGTCCCCTGAGGACACAGGGACCGCCAGCCGTCAGGGCCTGGATCCGCAGGAGACCACAGTCTGGCTGGGGCTGGCAGTTCAACCAGGCCCTCTGTCGCCCCCCTTCTATCCAGTCCCACTCACTTCTTGCCTTACAAAGGGGAAAAGGGGGTGCCTGAGGGGCCCGCTGCCCTGCTGTGTTCCGTGTCCCCTCCTGGAGGCACGGGGCACATGTGCGCCAAGCCTGTGCTCGGGGACTGCCCTGCTGGACCGGCCCGAGACACCCGGCTGACAGCGGGGTGCTGTGAGGGGCCTCCCGGCTGACAGCGGGGTACACACAGCCATCTCTGCCCTCAGGGTACTATTACGACCTCGACGACTCCTACGATGAGAGCGATGAGGAAGAGGTCAGGGCCCACCTGCGCTGTGTGGCCGAGCAGCCGCCCCTCAAACTGGACACATGCTCCGAGGTATCGCGTCTCCCTGTCCCCGAGGCGTGCGGCTGGCTGTGTCCGAGCCCTGCAGCCCAGCACGGGTGGCCGAGGGCACCTGCAGTGGTGGAGGCCAGCAGCCATCAGGGCTTTCAAACTCATTTGTTTTCTTTCCCGATCCAGAAGCTAGAGTTTTTGCAACTTTTTGGCTTGACCACCCAACAGCAGAAGGAGGAGTTGGTGGCCCAGAAGCGGAGGAAGCGCCGGCGGATGCTGAGGGAGAGAAGCCCTTCGCCGCCGCCCCTGCAGAGCAAGCGACAGACGCCCTCGCCGAGGCTGGTGCTGTCCACCCGCTACAGCCCCGAGGACATGAACAACAGCCCCAACTTGGAGGAGAAGAAGAAGTTCCTGACCATCTTCAACCTGACCCATGTCAGCACCGAGAAGAGGAAAGGTAATGGCCTTGCCTGGCGCTGCAGGGCGGGAAGGTGGGCTTGCTGTTGGGGCTCCGGGAAAAGCAGGCTGGTGCTGGGCTAACATGGCCCACGTGGAGCCCATCGTCTCCTGGCCTGGGCGGGCTTAAAGGCTGACCAGCTGCTCGTTGACAGCGAGCGCCTGTCTCGAGCTGACCCCTTCACTTGTCCCTGGGAAGGGGGTCCCTTAGCTGGCAGGGAGGGGCTGTGCCGCCCCCCTGACCAGGCGGTCCGCTGGGCAGCTGGCGGGGTCCACAGGGCCTTGTGACGGAGGGACGGACGTGGCACGGCCAGCAGCCACCATGCTGAGCCAGCTCAGCTCTCCCGAAGGGGTTTGTAGAGCAGTGTGCCTCCCCCTGCCCCACACCAACCACCCTGCAACAGGTCGTTGGTCAGGACGCCCCGGTGGAGGCGGGGCCAGGGCACGCTGCCTCACAGTGGGGACATGTGTGTGCCCCACTGTCCTGTGTGCTCAGCCCCCCTAACCCAGTGCCTCCTCAGAAGGAAGTCGGAACCAAAGGGCCCCTCAGGGTTGCCAATATGGCGCTGGGCGCTTCGCACTTCATCTCGTGTTTGACCAGCAAGGCCGCGTTGTGGCTTCCTGTGAGGGTTGGTGACGGGACATACAGTCCGTGGCAGTGCAGTTTTGTCTGGGAGGTTGCATCTTTGTGGCCGGCTGGGTGTCCCGAGGAAGCCCTTGGCAACGCAGCCAGAGTCGGCCAGGAGCACCGCTGGAGGAGTCCTGCCAGCTGAGGGGCAGGGCGACAGAAGGTGTCCTTCGCCTTGGTCACCGTCAAGAGCAGGAGGCGTGCACCAATGCGGGCGGCAGAGCAGGGCCAGGCCAGCGGCTGCGAGGTGGCTTCCCGGCGGTCAGCGCCTCCGACTCTGAAGGGCTCGCTGTGCCCAGCGCTCCCATCACCTCTCACCTCCCCTGAGCGTGGCGGTCCGCCTCGCTAACCTCGGGCTGCTTTTCTCATAGACAAGGAGAGACTTGTAGAACTGCTCCGTGCCGCGAAGCAGAGGGCACTGTCGGCAGTGGCAGCGACAGACACGCTGGCAAGCTCTCCGAGGGACAGTCCCACCGTCTCCCTGAGTGGTAAGGGCAGGCTCAGAGGCTGCTCATGGTCTGCGGCCCGTGCAGCTGGGCAGGCCCACGGGCCTCGGCGTCCCTCTGGTGGCGCTGAGCCTCCTTCCGAGGCCTGCCCAGCAGCGGTCCACTCAGCAGAACGCAGTGCCCGCTGCCCCCCAGCTGTCGTCTCCTGCCTTGCTGGCACCTGCTCTCGCCTCTTCTTCAGCCTGCGGCTCCTCTGGCTGCTCCCCTGGCCTTGACTCTGGTCTTGAACTAGACAGGTTCCCTGCTGGCCTGGAGTGACTTCTTCCTCCTGCTGTTTCTTGCTGGTGGCCCCTTGGGGCGTCTTTCATGGACTTGTGGCTGTCACGCAGCCATCGCTGGGTGAACGTGCCCTGGAGGCCCGGGTCCGCGTGCTGTCAGATGCCCCCGACAACTGCCTAACCTTGTCCCTTGCTTTCTGTCTCCGAAAGAACCAGACGCGCAGCCCGTCCCGCTGGAGACTGACAAGCCTGTGGGTGTTGCCGCCTCCTTGTCTGACATCCCGAAGGCTGCGGAGCCCAGCCGACTGGAACAACTCCGCGTCCAGGAGCCCGCCCCTGCCAGCGGTGAGAAGGCCAGGCCGAGTGAGGCCCCCGGGGGCAAGAAGAGCCTGAGCATGCTGCATCACATCCGGGGTGCCGCGCCCAAGGACATTCCTGTGCCGTTGTCCCACAGCGTCAACGGGAAGAGCAAGCCCTGGGAGCCCTTCATGGCTGAAGAGTTTGCGCACCAGTTCCATGAGTCGGTGCTGCAGTCCACCCAGAAGGCGCTACAGAGGCACAAAGGTGAGCGGCCCACGTGGGCGGCCGCCTGCCCAGGACACGGGCACCTGGAGGGACGCTCGTCCGGTGTACAAGCGCTCTCCCTCCCGACCTGTCGGGTCACGGTGTCGGGTAACCGTCAGTAGCTGCGTCCCACCAGGAAGTCTGCCAAAGGCCACTCTGGCTCCCAGCCGAGGCATTTGGCTGGGACATGCTTTCACCTGGGCTGAGAGGCAGCGTGGTCCCTGCTTTCTGCAGTCTAAAATGAGTGCCCTGCCACGTCTTCCCACGGGTTTGTCAGGATGGGGGTGAGCCGGCTTTGGCAGGTGGCTCTCCCCACCCCACAGTGACAAGGTGCCTTCCTCATCTGCCTCCCAGAGCTGGCTTCCCTTTGGCTCTGGGACAGTCCGCCTCATCCTGGCCTTCCCCTCAGCTGACTGCCCGCGGGACTCCTTGTAGCTACCAGACCGGTCCCTTAGCTGGCCTCGAGCTGTTGACACAGGAGGCACGCACCTTGTGCAGATGACGTCACAGGCACACTCTACCCCCAGGGCTCCGGCCCGGGAGTCTCACCAGGGGAGCCGTTTCCGGCCACCAGCTTCCCCAGCCAGGATCCCACCCCTGTGAGGAGTGAACGCCTGTTGCAATAGCTGCTTCTGTTTAGGGAGCCAGACTCCTTGGGCCCAGAGGGTTGGTGGGGGTGTCCCTGCTCCTCCCTGGGTGGGCGCAGGCAGGACCCCAGTCCCTGATGTGAGCGGTTCTCTCCCTGCCTGGGCTGCAGCAGTGCTGTCCGCAGAGCTGACCCACAAGGCCGACGCTTCCGTCCACTACAACATTCCCGAGCTGCAGTCCACGGGCCGGCTTCCTGCGCCCCAGCACAACGGGCAGCAGGAGCCCCCAGCTGCGAGGAGGGGCCCGCCGGCGCAGGAGATGGACTGCAACTCAGCAGAGGAGGAGGAAGAGGAGGAGGAGGAGGAGGAGGATGAGGAAGTCCCCAGGCACAAGTGGCAAGGGATTGAGGCGATATTTGAAGCTTACCAGGAACACATAGAAGGTACAGAAGAGAGGGGAGGGCATGGCTGAGGCAGGGCAGTGATGGGGTGGTCATGGGCCGGAGGCAGGCAGCAGGTGTGAGCCCTCAGGTACCCACTTGGGTGTGAACCTAAGGCAGCGGTGGTCCTGCTGGGCTAGACACAGGCCCTGCGGAGTGGGCTCTGTCCCCCTGAGCCTGCCTCCCATCCAGCTCCTGTGTCCTGGCAGGGATGTGGGCGGCCCCCACCCACGGCAGGAGTTGCCCTGCGGGGTGCGTCAGTTCCCTTCTGCTGAGCTGGAGACGGTCCAGGCAGACCCTGGCATGTGCCTCCCACACCAGCAGGTGGCAGACAGGGCGCCTCCTGCCATGGGTTTCGGGGTGCCCAGCCCGTTTGGCTGTCCTGTCAGCTTGGAATTTCTTCCCTCACGTGTCTCCCGGCATGCTCCCCGCTGCCTTGGGCGTGCTTAAGTTAGAATCGTTTCCTTCCCCAGCAGCGAGTCCCGTCATCTGACTTGCACTTCGCAGGCTGGTGTGACACCTGGCGCCTGCAGCCGGGCACCCAGGGCCCTTGAAGCCACAGCCGTCTGTGCTCCTGTCACTAGGGCACTGAAGTAACTTTACTGGGCTCTGCTTTGCTACCAAGATGTTCTTTGCAACTGGTAGCTGTTCCTAGAGCCAGAGCGGCAGGCCAGACACCGCTGCTCTAAGCCCGACGTGGGTGCTGGGGTTGCCAACAGCAGATCTACCTGCTGCTGCGTCACAGCGTTTGCCTTGTGGCTGCCTAGCCTAGTGGTTCTCTGACACCCCATATTGGAGTGCCTGGCCCGAGACCTGCCCCAGCGCTGGAGGCATCTGAGGGATGAGCCACCAGTTCTGATGTCAGTCTGTCTGTCGAGGCACGTGGAGTCTCAGGTGGATTTGGTTACTTAAGAGGCAGGCAGACCTCGGTCCCACAAGCCGGCTCCCCGGGCCCTGTGCGGCTCCCGCACTGACGCCTGCACAGAGGAGCGGCTGCTGGGCCGCAGGCCGCACCGGGCCGACGCTGCCTTTCCTTTCAGAGCAAAACCTGGAGCGGCAGGTGCTGGAGACGCAGTGCCGCCGGCTGGAGGCGCAGCACTACAGCCTGAGTCTCACGGCCGAGCAGCTCTCGCACAGCATGGCAGTAAGTTGGGCCCCGCATCCATCGTCCCCGTTGATGACACTGCCCGTCGGGGGGGGGTGCCTGCTTCTGACCGGGCAGGGGAGCTGCTTCTGACCAGCATTTCCTGCCCCCAGGAGCTGAGGAGCCAGAAGCAGAAGATTGTCTCAGAGAGGGAGAGGCTCCAGGCCGAACTGGACCACTTACGGAAGTGCCTTGCCCTGCCTGCGATGCACTGGCCTCGGGGCTACTTCAAGGGGTACCCTAGGTGACGGTTCCCCGTACACCAGGCTGAACCTATAGCATAGAAAATATTATCTATTTTATTACCTTGAATATTTAATATTTTTCACTGGGAGGTTTGAAGCTTAAAACAAGGATGTGCCATGCATGAAGCAAAGGTTCCACACCAGGGGACCCCGCGCTCCCCTGACTGGCCGCCCGGCTCGCCCTCTTCCCCGCGCAGCACAATACCAACACTAACTGGACCTGCTCCTGGCCTTGCTGCGAGCCGCTGTGGCATCGGCTGTGGCATCGGCTGTGGCATCGGCTGGCAGGGGTTGGTCTCCTTCCACAGGCCTGCACGCAGGTCGGGGCGTCGTAAGAGCTTCCGCTGCTTCCGGTTCTCACAGAATTGTCTTCAAAGCAACGGGCCCTGGGAGCAAAGCAACCGAAAGGCGTTTCCTTGGAAAAGCGCTGAGCCCACAAACCGGGGGAGCAGTCACACCCACCACGCCACAGCTGTGGCCGGGAAGTCAACGGTGCTTCAGCCTTGTACTGTGTATATATATTAAAGTTTTGTATGTTTTTATTACTTTAATTATTGTTATAAAAAGCCTGCCATTTTTAATATGTGGTTTGGGGAATTTTTGTTTTTCCTGTTTAGGGCTTTGTTTTTTTGTCTTTCTGGACAAAAAAAGAAAAAAAAAACAAGTTGCTTTTTAGTGTCTGTACTGCTGCTGGTCAGGACATGAAAAGGGGAGTGACTGCTGCCTGCGGCGCTGGGCCGTCCCCGGCCGCCAGCCCTGTGCGCTGCTCACCTCCGCCACCGCCCCGTGCTTGTGCAAGCTGCGAGCGAGGCCTCCACACGCGCACACGGCAGCTACACAGAACCGCTCAGGAAGCCATCCCCGCCCGGATGTGGCCTCAGTGGAGCCCCGATCCTGGATCTCCAGGAGTGGCCAGAAACTGGGGTGGGGGGAAGAGGTGGGGCGCTCCTGTCCCAGCCAGCAGGGGTTCCTGGCACCGAGGGTCTGACCTTGTGGCAGGGGTGGAGGCTTCGCAGTACGGAGCAGCTTGCTGGCAGCTGGCACGTAGTCACTTCTCTGCCCCCACGCAGCTTGTTCTGTGTGTCTGCCAAGAAATCCAGTCACTAGCAAACTCCGAAAAGAGCTGCCCGTGTTCTCGCAGCCAACCCGCACCCTGCTCTCCGTAGAAGTGACGAGAACGGGGGTTGCGCCACGGCCTCCACTGCAGACACGTTCCTCGGGTGTGGAGGGCAGCCCTGCTGCATTCCCCCAACTCGGTCTGCTTGTTGGCATAAGAGCCGCCGCATCTGGGCACTGCATGCCAGGCCACCTCCCATGTACTCCGACCAGCAAGGGCCTTGGCCGATTGCAAAACCAGTACAACTGGTGTAATAAGAAAGAAAGGCATCTGAGGGCGACCCTTTAACGTTAGTGCTGCTAGTGGGGTAAAGGACGGGCCATCTCTGGAGGACGTGGGCTTACCTCTTTCCAGTTGTGGACAGGGCAAGCTTGCCTGCCGAGCTGCCCTCTGCCCCAGGGCCTTGTGCTCAAGGACGACAATCAGAGAACCTGCACATGCTGTTCAGGCCCGGGGCCTGGCAGTGGGCGTCCCACCCTCCCGCAGTGCCAGGGCAGGCTGCTGCGGTCACTGGTGCGCCCTGACATGCCCCCCAGCGCTCAGCTAGGTAAACCTTACACCTGAGTGGCACCAACACCCTGCTGCAGGCAACTACAGGCCATCTGCGGTCGGGAGCGCGTGGTCTGCCAAGTCTCCCAAGTGAAGCCGAATCCAAGCCAGGGCCCCCTTCCCGAGGCCGCCGGCAGACGGAGCTGGCACTAGCTGGCTGTGCTCCTCTGCAGTGTCCAGGAGCCGCTTAGCTGCAGTCTCTGTCACCAGACTTTACTCTCGCACTAGTCTGTCCCCAACCTTCCGGTCCAGTGCTTAACTTCTTAGCTCTGCCCTGGCTGAGGGAGACCGCGCTCCCTGGCTCGCTCTGCGCTGTGCCAGCTCCCACAGCAGTGAGCCCACGCACGGCGGGCAGGAGGACCACGGTGCCTCGGCCACTCTGGGGGCAGTTTAGATGCTGTGAAATGAAATCTGTTCTAAGTGTACTTGTTTGGATTAATTGTATTGTAATATTATTTGTTGAATGTAGTAATTAGGTATTTATGAATATATTGCTGTAATTTTTGACAACATCCCCCAAAAATAAAATCTTCCTAAATCATGCTAAGAGGAACATCTTTTTTCCTGCCTCTCCCAAGCCACCGAGCCTCCAGCGGGACAGGTGCCCCCACCTGACACCCACCCTCGGAACTCACGGTCAGTTACGAGCCCGTCTTCTCATCCGGGGCCAGCAGCACAGAAAGGTGACTTGGGCCCTGAGGGCAGACACCAGTCCCCATGCTCCAGGCTGCCTCAGTCACACGCGCCCAGCACGCACTGCTGCTGACACGCTGGGTACTGAAGAACCTTCTAGTCATTGTGCAAAGCCGATCGCTTCCTTCTAAACAAATTCCTGTAAGAGAGCAAAGAATTCCAAAATGCTGTGATGCACCGATTTCTCCCAAGCCCCTGCTATCTACAGGAGTCCTCCAAGCACAACTGCTCCCACTCACTTCTGCCTTCACTGGGCAAGACGCGTCCAGCCAGTCCATCAGGGCACGTCCACTTCAGGCCTTGCTGCTCTCGGTAGTCACGCAGGACAAAAACCCAACAAAGTTGGATGGGGTTAACTTCACTTTTATTGTGCATCAGAACTTAAACAACAAACAGCTGGGCATCACCACTCCATCTGTCACTCGTCTCCAGGTGAGCAGCCGCCTCCTGGAGCAGAACCCAGGCCCACGTCTCCGTGACGCGCAGGTGACCAGTCCTGCCCCGGGACGCTGGGCACAGCACTCCTAACGCCGTGCTGCAGCAAACAACGTACCCGTCAAAACCGTGTGCTTTCTTCAACGAGAGGAAAGCTGACTTCTGGAAGCTGCATTCCAGGGAGCTGTTAGGACCAACTGCAGGAAGCCACGGTGCATCCCTGCGCGTCCTCCAAGCGCTCCACAGCAAGCCCCTCGGCACGACGCGTGGCCCACCCTACAGGTCCTGGGACTGGGCGCTCTCCGAGGGCTGCAGGTTGGTGCGGAGCTTGTACATGTGATTGAGGGCTTGTGTCAGGAAAGCGCCACTGGTGTTGATCTCCATCAGGGTCAAGTTATCCAGCTAAAACGAGGAAGCAAGGAAGTTCACAAAACCCCAAGGAAGAAGCCAGGATTGTGTGTGCAGCTGCATCCCTTAAGGGCACCAGTCCAACTCTGAGCTGCCCCACTTCCTGTTCAGCGCCCTGTGTAAGGCTGGGAAGGCAGCGGGGGGCCTAAGGCTCGGTGCCCTGCACCTACACGGAGACCCAAGGAAGCTCCTGAGCGGCGGCTGGCTCAGCTCTGGCCACGAACCCGCAGCTGCCCCTCACCTTGGCGTGCGCCTCCTGCTGCCTCACGAAGCTGTCCGTGGACACCCGCAGCTTGGCCGTCCGGGTGTCCCACATGTCCTTCACCAGCGTCCGGATCTCGTCTGCTTTCGGGATGTCATCTGAAGCACTGGAGACGCAAGGGACAATTAACAAAGGAGCTCTCAGTGACCCTAAAGCAGCACAAAGCAAGTGGCTGCTTGGATGGCAAGTGGAGCAGCGAGTACTTGAACCGGCCTCATATGGCATGCTGGCGCCACAGGCAGAGGCTTTCTCTGCGTACAACTGGAGAATGTTCCAGGTGCTAGCTCAGAGGCCACGGCTCCTGCACTACAGGGTCAGCAGCTCTGTCTGCCCCTGACCAGCCTTGGTGCCCACAGACCGACAGGACTCTATCTGGGGAGGGATGCGGGGGGAGTGGAGGAGAGTGGAAATGGTGTTGGGAGGGCAGACAGATCCTCATTGCTGGCTCACTCCCAAGGAGCCACAACAGCCCAGGTCTCTCACACGGACGGGCACAGGGCCCAACGGCTTGGGCACCATTTGCTGTCCCAAGAACATTAGCATGGAGCTAGATCAAAAGTGAAGTGGCCAAGACCACCAGCATGCATGTTCTCACAAAAGCCCCGAACAGCAAAAGCAGTCCCACTGTACAGATAAGAGTCACAGATCAGTGCAGCTGACACTTCCCGGCACAGCAGCAGCGCGCCTTCTCTGGGGCAGATGCGGGCAGCGCCCACCCCCGGGCCTCCAGGGCCCACTAGGAAGCTCCCGCACGCTGCCGCGGGCTCCTGCCCAGGCCAGGCTGCAGCAGTGTGTGAAGACTCACGGCGTGAACTTTGTGAAAGTGCTTAGGTCGCATGCTCTGTGCAGCGGGGAAGGAGCCGGATGCTGTCAGCTGAGTTGCAGAGGTGCAGAGGCCCCACGTGTGGGAGACGCCCACTCCGGGCCTGTGCCTTGCCTCTCTTCCCCTCCAGACACAGCAGCTACCTCAAGCACACCACACTCCTCGCCGCCAGCCACCCTCTCCCCGACAGCCCACTTCACACGGACGCCCCTCGGGCGCTGCCTCTTGTAGCCCACAGGGTGTCCAGCAGGGCTGTGGATCACGCCCTCATTCAAACCAGGAGCTCGGTCGGCCCCATGGCCAACTCCACCGTCTCCCGGAAAGCACAGCGCAGCGCTGGTTTTCAGATTTCCATCGAATGAATGGATGCACCTCATCCATCCACAGCCTCGTGTCAATGTAAGGACACAGGCTTCTAGCTGGGCAGCGAGTGGGACAAACAATTCATGTGACACGTCAGACCTGAACCAAGTTGCTGGCTCCTGGCTTCAGCCTGGCCCCACTATGGGGGACAAGCGGGTGCACGGGAAGCTTTTCCATCTGACGAGGGGTACCGACGTGGGCATCTCCAGCGCTGAGCCAGATGGAAGCCACACCCACACTCCCCCAGGTGGGTGGCCAGGCTTCCTCCCAGTGTGTCTTGGCAGAGCTGGACTTCTGACCCAGCAGCCAATGGGCTGCCTCCAAATTCACAAATTAAAGAGAAAAAAATTTAAAAGAAACATACAGATATTTACAAGAGGCTTGGGGCTCCCTCAGTACCCCCTAACCCTGTCAGCTCGCACAGGCAGGCTGTGGTAACCACAGTCCAAGCGCGGGGCGGGGCACGCGGGTCCTCCATCCCGTACGGGCTTACGTTTGGGCTGCTCCACTTCCGATCCAGCACTGTGCATGTGACCCGGGGAAGCAGCAGAAGACGGCCTGAGTCCTGGGGCCCCCGCACCCACTGGGAGCCCCTGAGGAAGCTCCTGGCTCCTGGCTGCAGACCAGCTCAGCTCTGGCCGTTGCAGCCATCGCGAGAGCAACCAGTGGATATGAAACCTGTTCTGTTTCTCCTCTCTGTGTAAAACCTGCCTTTCAAATAACAAATCTTAAAAAAAAAAAAAGTTCAGGAGGGCTACCACCTGCAGTGCCAGCACCCCCCTGTGGTCACAGGTTTGGGTCCCGGATGCTCCATTTTCTATCCAGCTCTTACTAATGCACCCCGGGAAATAGTGCAGGATGCCCCAAATCCTTGGACCTCTGTACCCTCCCCCACAGGAGACATGGCGGAAGCTCCTGGCTTCAGACCAGCCGTGGGCAGTGCAGACACTGGGTGGTGACTCACCCTGGAGTGCGTACGCGTCAGTTCCACCTCCATCCTCGACCGGCGTCCTGCTATGCCCGGAAGGCAGCAGACGGTGGTCCCCTGCCCCTCCCATGGGAGACCCAACCTTTACTGCCGCAGGCATGTGGAAAGGCGAACAGATGATTGGTCCCTGCCTCTCCCTGTCACCTTCCTAATGCTGTCCCAGGAACTTCAGAACCTTGGCACTAGGGCAGCACCGTGAGCTGACCTCCGTCTGCCATGCCAGCATCCCACACTGCAGTGCTGGCTGGAATCCCAGCTTCCCTGCTTCCGCTCCAGCCCCCCGCTGATGCTCCTGGGAAAGCAGCACAGGAGGACCCACATAGCTGGGCCCCTGCCCCCCGTAAGGACTGGGAGGACTGCAGGATCCTGGCTCTGGCTTGGACCAGCCCCGGCCACTGCAGGAGTGAGTCAGATAGGAAATACACGCCATTACTGACTTTCAAAAAAAGAAATAAATAAATCTTAAAAGGCGGAACCGCACCGGGGACATGATACCAAGACACCCCATGGTCCTTCCTTGCCCTCAGTCAGTGGGGTGGGCAGTGCTTGGCCCAGCAGTTCAGGTGCCACCTGGTTCACTGTGCCACCGCAGGGCCCGGCTTCCTGTTAACACCTCTCGTGGGAGGCAGGCTCAAGGAGCGGGTCTGTCACCCACACGGGACAGGTCGGAGTTCCCGACTCCCAACTTCAACCGTTGTAGCCATCTGGGGATGAACCCACAGACGGGAAATGTCTGCCCACCTAATTTCTAATAAAAGCACAATTTTTAAAAAGGGAAAGGACACTGGGAGTACCATGAGGGTGTGCACGGAGCTGGCCGATCCTAAACCAAGGAGGGATGTGGACCGGGCCGGAGTCGCTGAGGACACGCGCAGCCTGCAGAGCTGGGAGGGGCGAGGGCCGGGAGTCCGGGAAGGAACACCCGCCAAGCTCTCCACTGGTTTGAGTGCCAGCATCCGCTATGGGTGCCAGTCACGGCCCAGCTCCTCACTTCTGCTCAGCTCCTTGCTGACGGCCCAGCTGCTTGAGCCCTGCGCTCACGGGAAACGTGGAGAAGCCACTGGCTTTGAACCAGCCCAGGCCTGGCCGTGGCAGCCATCTGCAGAGTAAACCACAGACACCATTCTGTCTTCCCTTCTAACTTTGCCTTTCTAATATAACAGTAACAATAGTAACAATACAAAAAGAAAAGCCTGGAAAGCTCTGTGGATTTTAAGCAGGGCATCACATGGCAGTGCCACCTTTTCAAAGACCACTCTGGGAGACTCCAGGATGGCTGGACAGGGAACTCACTCAGGGATTCTGACGGGGAAAGCTGGTGAGAGCCCTGCAGGGGCACAGTGGGGACACGCGGGGGGCCAGCAGAAACGCGACAGTGGTGGCTCCGTACCACTGTGCCACCTCAAGTCGCAGCTTGATCCACTCCGGATCCAGATCCCTGCAAAGTTACAGAGGACGGCTCACGTCTGTGGGCCCCTCCACGCACGCGGGAGACCTGGAGGAAGCTCCTGCCTTAGGACCGGCCCAGATCGAGCCACGGTGGCCACTTGGGGAATACACCAGCAGATGCAACCGCCTTTCAAACAGAAACAAATCTATCTTACACGTGCACACACCCCTCCTCCAGCTGCTCCCATGCCCGGCTGTCATGCTGTTTGCGGATACTGGATTGAACGGCGATGGGGATGACGGCACGTTTCCCTCAAGCCCAGCCCAGGGAGCAGCGAGGGGAGGACACAGCTGTGTCACGGGCAGCACTGTCTTCAGACCCCTCACTGGAGCCAGGCAGAGGACGGGGACTCCTTGGATCCTCATGGGGAAAGAGCCCCTTTCTCCCCACTACCACCCAGGCTCTAACGCCACCTAGAGGTGAGCAGCCGGCAGCGCAGAACCGCCAGATTGGGTTTACTCTGCAGACAGACGCCTTTAACAGACGGACAAGGGGCCAGCAGGGACACAGCACGTTAATCCTCCAACTGCGGAGCCAGCATCGCTGGTTCATGTCCCAACTGTCCCACACCCAATCCAGCTCCCTGCTTGTGGCCTGGGACAGAACAGAGGACGGCCCAAAGCGTGGGGACCCTGCACCTGTGAGTGGGAGACCCAGAAGAGCCTCCCAGCTCCTGGCTTCGGGTTGGCTCAGCTCTGGCCATTGTGGCTGCTTGGGAAGTGAATCAACAGATAGAGAATCTTCCTCTGTCTCTCCTCCTTTCTATGTATCTGACTTTCCGATAAATAAATAAATAAATCTTTTTAAAAAGTGTAAACATGAAGAGATCAAGGAAATATTGAAAATGAATTATAAAAATTCTAAGTTTGCTAAAAAATGAGACAGAGGCAGGAATTAAGAAAACCCACATGAATAAAAAGTTCTTCCATGAGATCTAAATTCTGAAGAGAAAACGAATTGAAACACTAAAGATGAAGAACTTGATCTGAGCCCCGGCGACCCACTGGAGCTGGGGAGCGGTGGGAAGCCCATGGGGGCCCGTGGGTGTGGGGGGATAAGGGTATATCGCCTGAGAGCTCACCTCTAGGCAGGTGGAGAACCTGGGGGTCCTGGGCGGGGGGAGGGGAGGGGAGAGCCCCAGCCAGCTCGCTGGTATGCTGCAGACTCAGTGGGCCTGGATCCTGGGGGTGTGGAGGGGTAGGGCACCCGGCCAGCTCACGTGCCAGGAGCCCGGGACTCTGGTGGGCGGGGAGAGCGCTGGTCAGGACACCAGCAGCTGGACTTCAGAACGCATGCATTCATGCCGTGAGGACTGTGGACCGAATGGGGAAGCAGCAAGGAGATTTGGAGCACTGGCAGGTGAGGAAGGACTCCTGAGCGACTCAACAAGACCACTGTACTTGGTGAGCGAGCGGGAAGACCTGGTGCTTCGGAGGAAACACTGGAAGACCTTTATGCGTCAGACCGATGGGCCAGCCCACA